ATTTTTTACGTTTTATGATAGGATAGGGTGTTGCGTGATCAAAATTAATGCGATTGGGTTTTAATTGCGAAACACGAAAAATAATTTAAAGTTAATTCAAATTAAATATATTAAATATAACAAGAGATGAGATTTAATTGATTCAGGATAAAATTGGATCAAAAAAAGACGAGACGTGTGACGCAATGAGGGCCAAGCAAATGATGGGTATAAAAAGGGGAAAAATCATATTTTTCCCATAATCTCAACCCATTTTTGATATATATATATATATATATATATATATATATATAGAGAGAGAGAGAGAGAGAGAGAGAGAGAGAGAGAGAGAGAGACACTCAAGGAAATCTCCAAGCTTCTTCTTGCGATCTACAACTCTCCGTTCATCGAATTGCTTTGGGCCAAGAATAAAAGTTGTTCTACGCGATATAAGCTACAAATTATACCAAAGATTGTGAGTTTTTCTAAGAATCTCAAAGACGGGATTTTGGAATCAAGCCTTCGAAGCTAGAATTTGGTATTTTGAAGCTTCGATTACGTGTTATTACACTTCAAGAGGTTGGGTTCGTTCTCTAACTAGGTTTATTTTCAACCTAGGGTTGAAATACCAAATGAGTAGGGTGTTAGGGATGTAATCTCATGTATGACACATACCTATTATAGTTGAAATGCGAAAAATGAGTATAAGAATGGTTAAAGTCAATTCTTGCATGAATTGGGTTTTGATAAAATTGAATGTGTTGATTGGGCAGGCAATGTGTTTACATTTATGCCTTAAAGGTGTTTGATAAAATATCTATGTTGATTAAGTGTGTTAATTGCATTGAACATGTCATAACATGCTTGGGATTAATGTTGGAAAATGTTGCTATATGGCTCATGATATATTGACATTGAGGACTTGAGAATTTTTGTGGAGTTGTGACATGTTCATAATATGCTAATGATATGTTGAACATGATGTTGAAATTGCAATTGAAAACTTGATTCGTGGGCATGTGACGAGTGTGGGTGTGTGCATGGTTTTGATAGAACATCATTCTTGGTAGATGATACATGGGCTTAAGAGAGTTGAACCAAGGTTCGATTGAGCCACACGGATTGCATTGAAAATAGGGTTGGGGTTAACAAAAAGGGTTAGATTATCCCTCGGGTGCAAGATCCGGTGACTTGGATATGCACTCTATTGGTGTTAAGTCCATAAAGTATGTTGGCGTATGCAGAGCCGTTAGTGGAAGTCTATAGATGCTATGTCGGTTGGGTGCCCGTTGGTGGAAGTCCATAAATACTCACCCCAAGAAATACCCGAAATTTATAAATAGTTATTGAATGTGCAACACCAATGGCGGGGGCTTGGAATGCCGGATACATAAGTATGACATTGTATGTGTTATGGGAGCCGATAGATGGCTCGATTTGCATTGCATATGTGAGTCTCACCTTATATCATGACATGACATTGTGGCATTCATTATTGAATTGTATATTCTTAGATGGATGCTTGTTTGATTTGTTGACTTGGATGTGAACATTTCATATGCATTTGAGTTGAGAGGTAGCCTTTTTAAGAGATACCCTATTGAGTATGACTTATCTTTTATGGAAAAACCTTTTTAGGTGTGGGACAAGCGTCGATGGACGACCCTTACATGGGTCCTTGTTAAAAGAGGCCGAAATGTGGCAACAAATTACATTTTTGTAAAGCATGTGTAATATGTTTTGAATTGTAAATGGTGGTAAGAGAATATGTAATAAACTCTTATGGATGGTATTTTGATCATACATAAATGTTATGTGAGTTTGGATGAACTCGGGATCAAATTGGGTGAGTTAAAATTGAAAAATGATTGAATTTGAGAAAAATTGGGCCCTGGTACTGGTACCAAGTTAATTAGGTACCGGTACCACAATTCCAGTAGGCTTAGATACTAGTACAAAGACTTGAGGTATCGGTACCTTGTCGACAGTGGGCTCAGGTACCGGTACCTATGTTCACAGATACCAGTACTACGCTATCGAGGGCCCAAGTACCGGTACCACGTTTACTAATACCGATACTTGATAAGCAGAATGCCTAGGTACTAGTACAAAATACACGAGGTATCGGTACCTCTTCCAAAATTTTCAAAATTTAAGTATAATTTTGCCAAGCCTTCGGTCCTCGAGCCTTCTTGTTTAAAGAATGTAATTGGTGAAGTACTGAGGGCAAATTGATGTATATTGGACCTTGGAATGATCGTGCGATGACGTGGTGTCGGGTTATGCGGCATAAACGAGTATTTTCACGGGTTGATGGTTGATCATCGGTTGAGAATAGACCCATGGACCTTGGGGCATCACATATTCAGCTCTTTTGTAGAGGAATCTCTGGGTTTGTTTGATTGTGGTTAGATGTTTTGGGGTTGCAATTTTGTTGGATTTGAATGTGCGTTCCTCAAACTAATTTAATTAATGCATTTATTTGTTTTGCCAATGTACGATTTTGACACCTTCACTATTGGCGTTATGCAATTCCGCATAGTGGTCTTGGAATGTAAATTCTCTCCTATTCTATTGTTAATATTTTGTAGTAGAAGAATCTGCAATAAAAGGCTGTTGATAGTTAATGTACTCCCTATTTGTTTATGGCCATTACTTTAAAGATAGTTATGTAGAATTTGGCAGCTACATTTAAGCGAAGGCTATGATATCTATGGCCAATATGGGTCTTCCAAATTTTTATCTAATTTTTACATCCATTTGACAAAGAACTTTCATCTTCATCCAAAATCCCATAGATCCAAGGTATAGATGAATGGAAGGAACATGTTACTTGAATTATTTTTCTAACTAAACTTCATTGCCTTTGAGGACCACTAACGATACCAACTTCCTCTTTTGTCTCTGTAACTGTGTTTGCATGCATTCTATTATAAAGTGCAAGTACGTTGTGGCTGGGTTTGGTTAAGCACAGCAAAGGTAATCTCAAAATCTGGATCTTTTGTGTGGTTGTGAGAGTTATAGTATATATTTGCTATTCTATGTAGTTGGTTTCTTTGATTATATAATTTTGGTGTGTTTGGTGTTTTTGTTTGATACCTCAGTTAGATAGTTGTGGTGTAAGTACGTTTGATTTAATGATTTTTTCTTAATTACTTTTGATGTGATTTCATGTGAATTTTGTAGTTATTTTAGAGTATTTGATTGGTTTGATTGTGAATTTTTTAGTTACATTAATATGTTTTATATATATTTTTATTTTTTTATTATATGACCGATCTAATTAGTTGACCCAACTGTTGACTTTATGAATCATTGACCCGGTTCCTCTACGGTTGACTTGATAAATCATTAACCCGGTTTTTCTACCAGTTCGATGTCCAATCCGATTTTAATAACACTGGGTGGAAGATTTTGACATCCAACTTGTCCAGGCAGACAATCTATGACCCGACCCGAGAAATGTGTCGGTGAATTGGCTTAAAGTAAAGTATGGTTCTAATTAATTTTGGATTTGAACGACAAGTGTGATTAGCAAGTATTCGGAGTTATTCTACAGGAGTGGATTCAATGTGGCCTTACTTTGAGTAAGTTTCTTATTCTGACAAAGAAAAAAATCGAGTACATGATTTCATAACGTATTGAGTGGTTGAGATATTCAAATACAGGGTAATATTCCCTCCAATAGATTATTTACTGTAAATCAAGTGAAACTCTTTGTATATACACTCTTAGTAATACATGCTAGATGATATAAAGAACGAAAATGGGGTAAAGAATTAATAGAAGGGGTCTAGATCCATCAAATACAGCGACCATGAGTACAACACCATCCATAATTACTAGAAGCACATGCACATTAATGCTATTTAAACTTAAATTTTCAAATCTAATCATTTATCCTCATAAGATTGACAATGGATGCAATTATTTGGCGTTGCCATACAAATCAAGTTCTACCAAATTTTTAAAATCGACTAAAAATTATGCAACTACGTATTTTTTTTTGTTTCAACGGTCCGGATTATTCGTGCCAACTTACGCACAGTTTGATTAATCCCCTCAAAAACTGATCATCTACGCTAAAACTAAAATATTCGTGTGGAATAAAATCTCACATATACAACTTTATACGCACAACAATTATGTACAAAAGAAATGAAAGACAAGTCATGAGGTAACAAAAAAATCACCACAAATCCAAATCCGCACCCTCACAGTTGATAAGTCAAAAATATCAACAAAAAAGAAAAAAAATGCACTTCCAAAGTTAACAGAATAAATTCATGGCAGATACACACCTACTGTGATGTGGAATCAAAAACTGAATGCTCCCTCAATTAACAAAGGTTCAAAAGTCCCCATATTCTTCCCTCCACTCGAAAAAAGAAGTAAAGAAAAAAAAAACTAAAAAAGGAAAAAGAAAAAATAAACATCTTTGAGAGCTGTGAATCCCCATCGACCATCTTTAGAGTATTCCAGCAAATCACTGCATGACATTGCAAGATTTTATTACTTTATACACCAAGCAAAATGCAAAATTATTAAACAAAACAGTGCTGTCAAGAAGAATATTAGTATGAAGCATACATCTCAACTTGCAAATGTATACTAACCATGCATTAAAGGATAAGCCACAGTGGAGTTATATACATGTGGGTGTTGAATTGAAGGTAAATTATTTAACAATCGAAAAGAACAAGCGAGCAATTGCCATTCAATATTGATATTCTACATATTCACCACCCAGCCTCATCGAGTTAAGGCACCTTGTTGCACCTGGTGCTGGAAGCATGAAAGGTCAACCCACCTCACCTCCCACCCCCACTTTTTTCTTTTTCCTGTTACTTATACTTTTTCTTCTCTCTTTTTTGAGGTGAGAAGCACACGAGCAAGGACAGAATTTTCACATTAGAGGAACACTTAATTCTTGAACAATCAGGAGGACTACACAAGTTAAACTTCTACTGACCTTTAAAATTACCTATCTATCTTAACGAAAAGAAAATAATGGTTGAACATTATAGCAAAAGCGCATATTCACAACCTACCTGTGGCTGCTGCTGTTGGGTTGGTGGATAGTTTCCATATCCAGGATACCCACCATTGTACAGATTAGGATCCTGGGCAGTTGGAGGAACATATCCATAGGTTTCAAATCCAGGTGCATATCCATAATATCCACCATTCCACTGGTTTGGATCAACCTGAGGCTGAATAAAACCAACAGATGGATCCGTATGCTTGTCAGCTTCGTGGGCAACGAAAATGTAGATGTTACCAGAAAGCAGATGGTTGAATGAAGGAATAATAACCTGCTTGTTTGATGGACTACGGCCCCATGAAAGTCGAATATTTTGTCCACCCAACTGGGTTCCATTTAACATTCGCAATGCTTCCTCCACACAGCTCCTGTTATCAAATATGCATGGAACCAAGCAAAGCCCCATATATTAGACTTTTAGTATTTCCAAATAAGAAGAGCCTTGGGAAAAGGGAGTTGTGCGTGCACGATCTTGCACAATATAAACACAAGAACAGATCTCTTCCGTGATGAACACGAGTCCGTCAATCGAGTGGTTAATCTTGCTACTTGGAATAGGTTATGAGGGCCGAAAGTGGCCTATGAAGTGGTGGCGAATTATTGTTAGGGGTCGACTGAATGATCCTAGGAGGTTAAGGGAGATTAGAGAAAAATAGGTTAGAAGGGCGCCGGAGTGTTTTCCGACGTATCCCCTCCGACGATCAAGTTAGTTCCTTGAGAGAGGGGAAAAAGAAAACATTGTATGATGCTTGAGAAAGGATTTTCTGCATACCTTTGTCATGTGTTTGCGAGGATTATTTATACCTTAAAAACTCATCATTGCTGACAGCGTAACTAGTAGGTAATCATTGGAGGTGCGCAGTGTGCACACCAATTTCTATGAGTAATGTTCTTATTCTTAACTGCTCGGGATCCTGAGCAACTAATGCTTTCTCCTCAGTCTGCCGAATGTTTAATGACCTTCCCTCGGCGAGGGTGTATTAAATGCCCAGACTTTATGCCATTTATTACCTTTCACTTTCAGGTTCTCATGCATTAAATACTATCTCATCAAGGGAAATGTGCATTAAATACTTGATTTCCCAAGTCGTGTGTCAGCAAGGGTATTTTAGTCTTTTTGTCTCTGATCTGACACAATACACCACGTGCCCATTCCCCCTTGGTTGAGTCTTCTACTTTCTTGTGCCTCCTGACACCCTTTGAGTAAGACGAGGTCATGATGTCTAGTTTAGCCTAGCCTAGGCTAGTGATCTGTCTATCAATAGCCCTGTAAGAGTAGAAATGCTTCGTAGACGGACATACCTCGGTGCCGAGGGTCCAGCATCGCTAGGGGCCAATGTGCCCAAAACTGACCGAGGGATACGTGTCGGTCTATGGCATACCGGGGATCCTTGATCCCTGTGAATAGTATCCTCGGGGGAAGGGGGATTATGGACCGACGCGCACGTGTCGTGATCTGATCGGTGAGTATCCATTGACGCCGAGGACATGTGCCGTCATCTTGGAGTATCTGAAAATGTCCCATTAACTGTCCCCCAGCCTTCGATCTTCTAACACTAAGGACACGTGTCGTAAGAAGACGAAGGGTTTTGCAACTACCCCAACCACCCCATCATTACTTCCAGCCGTTTTTTGCTGCTTAGGAGGTCGTGTGCATTAAATGCGCCCCTTTGTGCTTCGTGCCTAATGATGGGGACAGACACTATATAAACGGGCCTTCTCATTCTTTCCCACACTTTTACTGCTTCAAACTCTCAAAGAGCCTTTGCTGGAGACTTCGTCGGAGACACCCTTAGTCACATCGTTTACCAACCAATCGTCACCGGATTTGGATCAGCAAACCCCCTCTTGCTTCCGAACCTTCCTCGAGAAGGGAACCACTCCAAGTTCCTTGAAAATCTTCGCTTGCATTCTAGTGAGTCCTTGCATCCTCCTTCTTTTCATCCTTCTTCTGGGTTTTGCTTTTCCTTCTCCGGGAACCGGAGGTGTTTCTGGTTGTTTTCATTTTGACCAACCCTCAGGAAACCACTCGGGGTTCCTTGTAGGAAAACTCTTTCCTTCCCCTTTCCTTTTCATTTTAATTGGAGATGTCCCGACGCCGCTCTGTCACTGAGGACCCCCAGGCTAGTTCCTCGAGGCCGGGGAAGTACAAAGTAAAGGGAGACCAGCAGATCGATAGGTTTAGGGCCCGGTATCACATTCCCCGAAACGTAGGTATAGAAGAGTACGACCCGATTTTGCATAACTGTAATCTTAGGGCCGAGGATGAGATGCCCTTTTACACCAAGGCGATCATAGAGGGTGAAATTAGGTTCCCTTTGCCTCCTCTGCTCCTCCAGTTCCTCTCTCATTTCAACTTTTTTCCTGGGCAGTGTTGCCTTAATATCTTTAAGATAATAATGAGGGTCCTAGAGCTTAATAGCCGCCTCGGGGTAAACGTTGGGCTCAACGATATCTTTTTTTACTACTCCTTGTTGAGGGTCATGCCTCAGCAGAACTTCTACCTCAAAGCTAGGGATCCATCCATGTACCATGTAACTTATCTCCCTGACTCGGCCAAAGGGTACAAGGATGACCTCTTGATCTTCATCGGATTTTGGGGGCGGAGGACCGGTCCCGAGTACAATGGTCTAAAGTGCCCTCTTGAATGGAGAACGACAAGTACGTCGGCTTCTTCAAGTCCAATTTTTTACTATCCTTCGAATATTTTGCAAGTGTTAATAACCTTTTTTCTTGTGCAGACGTCTCCACCCGGGAAGTCGCCCTTCCTTCTTAGTCTTTGGTACACTTTGCCGACCTCAAAACTGTTTGGAAGTTTGTCGGCAACGATGGGTTTGGCCGGGCTGCTCATCTTCTCTTGGACTACACAGCAGGGTATAAGAAGTTTTTATAGCTCCCCCAACCTTTCAACCCTTCGTAGTGGTCTGAACTCTTTGATTAGACAGTGCAACAAGAGGCCGAGCAGAACTTGGAGGAAGACCCCGACAGAGCTACTGAGGCGGAAGTAGAGGGCGCCCTCGAAGTTGAGGAGTTCGGGGCTAGAGAGGCTTTTGTTCCTTCGCATGCCGAGGTGGGGACCTCAGGGAGAGATTCGTGGCCTGACTTCAACATCCTCCAATCCTTAGACGCCGAGGACGCCTTCGAGGTAGCAATGTCACATACGCCTCGCATTGACTTGGGCTTCCTGAGGAAGAGGTAGGCCCTCACCGCAGGGAGAGGACGGGGATCAACCAGCAGCGCCCCATTAATAGGGACCAACGCCAACCCCCCACCTTCGAGGGCCGCTGGTCAAGGTCAGGTGCGTAACTCGGATCCCCAAGTTGAGGAGGAGAGGAGGACCAAACAAAGGCATGACAGTCTCGGTAGGGGATCTAGGGCCCCCTCTGCTCAACAGCAAAGTGGGAGGGGCCGTGGGTTGCCCCCTCCACCTCAACAGCAATAACAACAGCAGCAGCAGCAGCAGAGACAGACTCCATCTCCCCCGCCGCAGATGGTGGAAGCTGCAAAGTGGAACCCTCGGACTACTGATCATATGAACCGGGTGATCAGGGTCAACGATTCCATTTTGCAGGACCCCCATGTCGCCAATGCAGTGAGCGAGACGCTCCACTTTGAGGCCGACATGGAGGCTCACAAGGGGCGGACAATGAATACCTTGTTCCGTTCCATCATTCAGAATTCCCTGGTGGTAAGTTCCATCTTTGGTTTAGCCTTTCCTCACTGTATCACCCACATATTGACCAGACTCTTTCTCTCGCAGGCCACCCAACAAATTTTCATAATCGTTGCACGATACCATGCAGCTAGGATGGACCTCCAACGAACCCAGGAGCAGAAGAAAGAGGTTGAAGGAGCCCTGACCAATGCTAAGGAGGACGTGGCTGCCAGGGACTGCTCAAGGACAGCGAATTGGCGAAAGTCGGTGCTGAAAAGCTAAGTGCCGCCTTGGCCGACGCTGAGAGGAGAATTACACAGCAGACGTAGCGGATCTCTGCGGTCGAGGTAAGGGCTGTCGGGTCAGAGGAGAACTGCCTGGCTTTGACCCAAGAACTGGACAGGATCAGGGTGAAAGCAGAGAATAAGAAGTCTGAGGAGCAAATTCGAGAAGAGTTTGCCGATGACAAACTACCCGCCCTTGAGGAGAATAGTAAAGAGTTCTTTAAAAAGGGGAGGTATGAGGTGCTCCGAGCCGCCAGTGTCCTTCCAGACTCTCCACTTTTCTAGATGCACAACTATGTGTCGTCGGCGGAGATGGCTCAGGCCGAGGCCGAGATTGCTGCCAAGGGTGCGGCCCTAACGCCGATGTAAGTTTTGACAGATCCACCTGAGGTGGTAATTCTCATCCCATCCGATGAGGCCCAACTGGAGTCAGCCCCTTCTGTCCCCCCGAGTCCAACATTCCTCAGACTTTGCCTGTTGCTGATTCTGCCCCAGCTCTGCCTGCCCTAGAAGCTGCTCATCCCTTCTGCGTTGATTCTCCTTGCAGCGATGTGTTAAAGATGCCCCGGGCTAGATGAAAATTGTTCTCCCTTTTTGTACTGTTCTTTTTAATCAGAATGTATTTCCTTCTTGTAGCTCTTGGGGACGCAAAGCCCTTCTTTTGGAATGAATGGTTCTCCTTTCATTTATTGTGCACTTGCATTAACTATTGAAGCCAATTTTTCTCTCTCCCTCTCTCTCTCTCTCTCTCTCTCTCTCTCTCTCTCTCTTTTACGCCGATGCTGTTAGTAACTAGTGGCAACGAAATATCTCCATAGCTCCGATACCTGGAGAGTAACTTGGTTGATCCGCCCGATTGGTTTAGTTTCATCATTTCTAAGGGTCGTACGCTCCCGCGGGGTAATGTCCTCCCCAGGGGTTTGTTCCTTGGAACTTTGCTTCTAGGGTTTTACCCTTTTAGGAGGCTTGCTCCTGATTTTTCTTCGGAGGCAGGAGTCCTTGAACTCTGCCTCCAGGGACTTACCTTTTTAGGAGGCCTGCTCCTGTTTTTCCTTCGGAGGCAGGAGTCCTTGAACTCTGCCTCCAAGACCATGCTCTTGTGACACTGCCATTAACAAATGCTGAGAGAGATAATACTCAAAAATAGTACTTTTTCAGATTTATCACATTCCAAGGCCGTATTACAGGTTTTCCTCTCATATCTTCTAATCTATATGATCTGGAGCCCCCCACTAACGCCACTTTGTAAGGTCCTTTCCAGTTAGGGCCCATTTTCCCATCCGCTAGGTCTCGGGTATTGGCCGTCACCTTTCTGAGGACCAGATCGCTGACTTGAAATTCTTGGGTCTTGACTCTTTTGTTGTGAAGTCTTAAAATCTTTTCCTGATATTTGACCACTCTTAAGGCAGCCATTTCCCTTCTTTCCTCC